TTGTTTTGGTAGGTCCACTCTTAGTGCTATAATTATTGTATAAATCACTTTGTCCTGGCTTTTATATAAGGGATAATTCTTTCTGACTTTATGTGAGAAATAGGGTTTTATCTTCTTTTTCTTTCTTAACCACTTAGAGCTGCTAACAGAGTGCTATCTCTTATACCTGCTAAATGTATAAGCATAAAATGTGGCAAGTGTTTTAATGGAATGAAATGAAATACTCCATTATCAATAGGAAAGACACAACAGTGATGACTGTATGTCCTCATGGTCACAGTGCAAGCATTTATGTCTCTTATGCCTATGAGGAATTTATTTTCAAATCTTTTTTATAATCCTTCTATACAATTCTATTGACCGTTTTCATTCTTTATATAATATCTTCTTTTAGTATCTAGAACTATGAGTTAATGGTGTTATAATGTAACATGTATGTTGTTATATATGTGCATAACACAACATATATGTTGTAACATATATACACAAAATGCAACATGTATGTCTAACATACCTACACACAATATATGTACAACATTATATAAAGCTTTTGCACAGGTTGAATATGAGCTATAATGGCATGTTTATTGCGCACATAAAGAAATTGAAGCTCAGACAAACTATTACTTGGTGAAATTTACACAGATAATTTAAGGCAAAGCCAGGACTCCAACACAAGTCCGATTTTGAGTCGTGATGTCTTTCCATTTCATCTTGGCCTCCACAGATAAGAGATATGACTTATATGTTCCTAAGTATGTTGAGGTATCTTCATGCCCCAAAACAAGCTGTACCCTTTGCAGAATAATCTCTCCTGTTCTAGTCTCAACATGAATCTTAGAGTTTGCAAGGCTCAGTTGTGTATGGGTAAGTATTCATGAATATGTTTTACATATCATAATTTCTTCCTATTCATATCACACTATACAGATCTCAACCTCAGAATTCTCTGCACACCATTTCCAACACTCAACTTCATGAAAAGGGAAATTTGTGTGATTTCAGAGGTTTAGCAATGCTTTGGTTTGTATATCTGTCTCCTCCAAACCTCATGTTGAAACTTAATCCCCAATGATGCAGGTGGGACCCAATGGGACATGTTTGAGTCATGGAGGCTGTTCCCTCAGGAACAGATTAATGCTGTCCCTGGGAGGAGTATGCATGAATTCTCACTGCATTAGTTCCTGTGACAGCTGGTTGTTAAAAAGAGCCTGGCACCGTCTCTCTCTCCCTTCCTCTCTTGCCTTGTGATCACTGCACATGCCAACTCTCCTTCACCTTTGACCAAGAGTAGAAGCAACCTAAGGCTTTCACCAGATGCAGACATAGGTGCCATGCTTTTTGTACAGTCTGCAGAACCATAAACTTAATAAACATCTTTTCTTCATAAACTACCCAGTCTCAAGCATTGTGATAGCAACACTAAACAGACTGAGATGAGTGAAAAATACAACGCAGCCTGCCCTTTGCACAATATTGATGTCTGAAACTCCACATTTAGATAGCTATTTTTCTTTGTAACCTGGTAATGGCAAATACCTTCTAACATCTCAGGGCAGGTGAATTTGTAAAAGATATTTCTGGAAGCAGGTTTGTGTAGCATATGGAGAAAATGTTGGGCAACAAAGCAGGAATGCAGGAAGGTTAATTAGAGAGCCAAACAGGGTAAACTCGGAGCTCTTATAATTTTGTCTACATATCTACAGTACTGCACTGAACTGCACCCCTCAGAATGACATGTTCAAGTCTCAACACAGGCTCCTGTGACTCTGACCTTGTATGGAAATAGGGTCTTTGTAAATGTAGTCAAGTTTACATGAGGTCATACTGGACTAGGATGGACTGGAAATCCAATGATCCCAATCGCAGAAGGAGAAAGGGGAGGGAGATTTCAATTCTAACCTCTAGGACTGTGACAGAATAAAATTCCTATTGTCTTAAGTCACCCAGTTTAAATTTGTCACAGAAGCCCTAAGTAACTAATACCCTACCCTTAATTTTAAGTTCATTTTGGTTAATCCCTTTCAATAATTAACACTGTTCAACTGTCATTCCCAAAATATGTCCCACTGGCTCTACTCTTATAACCGTCCTATATATCCATCTTTTGGTGGTGGGGCTGCCACCCCTGCAGAGGGAAGACTTGCATGTGTATACTCACATCTGTTCCCAAAAGGGGCACCCCACTCCCCTGGAAGATGTGCATGTGTATACTCACATCTGTTCTCAAAGGGGGACCTCGCTCCCCTGACACTTTGTTGTCTCATGGGAGCTTGCAAACTTTATACTTCCATACATGACAGTAATCATTTGACATAAACTATATATTAACTTGCCAATACATAATTAATTCAGTATTAGCAAAATATGTAATACTGTTCCACAAACAATAACCCAGAATTTCTAAAAGTTCATTGTCTAATCTTTATGAATCTTTGGAATTCCAGCCTCTGGGAGCTAAGGAAACAGCTGAAGATAGATTGTTAGCTGGTCCCAAGGTCATCTAGGAGATTCCCCTAATCCCCATCTAATGGACCTCTGTTTCGTGTTAACCATTTCCCCAAGAAGGTGCAAATAACTTCATGGGGAGGAGAGTGGGCTTCAAACGTGGGACCTGGATATGGCCCAGTGATTACCTAGTTACCTATGTCTTACAGTTAATCTTAAAGTTGTTACAGGACTCAGTAGTGAAGCTCTAAAATATCCGTCTCAGCTCCAGATTTTTTATTTGGGGAGCTGATCTACCCTCGCGTGTCCACAGCCTGTGCCTGGTACAGTACCAAGGCAGGTAAATGGTGGTCGCGGGGAGGGCTGCGTGTGGGTGCTAGCAGCCAACATCTCTCCAGAAAGAAAAAGACAACTCCCCTCCAGCAGATCAATATTTCTTTATGAGCTGTGAGCCCAAATCATCACCACCATCATCACTACAATTCTATCCACAGTAATTATCATAAAGGCCTGAAGATGCCCTGTGGATGAAAGTTCTGAATAACTGCCATGTAACCAAGAGATTTAAGACTTCACCAAAACCCAGTGGATGTCCATACGTCGTTGACAGAAGTCAGTGATGAAACTGAGATTCTACTTTAATCTGTGAAGAGATTTGAGTGTAACTGAGACACGTCGGAATGGAATACACCGAGGAGATTTATTTTTGTATCTGGCATGCCTGGACCCATGCTCACCCTCGTCGGTCCAGCTGCTCCAGCCTGCCCTTACGGGCTCCGGATGCCTCACAGCCACCGCCCGCGGCCTCCTCAGCACCGCTTGCTCCCCGGGATAACCAGGCCCCGCGGGCGCTTTCCAGGGGCGTCCCCAGCCGTGCTGGCCCTCGGGGCTCCGGGAGCTCCACGGGGACGGGGCGTCCAGGCCGCCCAGAGAGCGCCCCTTGCCCCGCGCCCGAAGCGGCTCCAAGGGGCGGGCGGGCGGCCGGCGGCCGGCGGGCCGGGCAGGGGGCGCAGGGCGCCCCAGACGCGCGGGCTTCCCCCACCCCCGGCCGCGACCCCACCTCCCGCCCCCGCGGCGTGCGCGCGTGTGTCTGTCTGTCTGTCTGCTCTCTCGACGTCAGTGGGAATTTCCAGCCAGGAAGTGAGAGAGTGAGCGAGAGAGAAAGAGAGAGAAGTGCACCAGCGAGCCGGGGCAGGAAGAGGAGGTTTCGCCACCGGAGCGCCCGGCGACGCGCTGACAGCTTCCCCTGTCCTTCCCGTCGGTCGGGCCTCCCGCGGCCG